TGGGATTGAAGGTTTTCTGGCGTTCTACTATATTTCGCTAGTGCTGCAGTGCGATTCGTTTGTTTTCATAAAATGGCCTAATGTTCCATTACTTTGCGATTATAAATGCCTGGGTAAAGGAAGGATTTAATGTAATGTCTTTCATCGGGACACCACTCGGGAGAATTCTACATATCTTTAATTCTATAAATCATCTTTGAAAGTTACACACGCGAGAAGCTTAATCATGCGATAGAAAATAAATTCGTACGACACAAGTAATTTTATTCTTTTCTCGTTGCAGTGCTGTCTACCGCGAGCGGCGCAGCATCCTCCGGCTCGAACTCGACGAAAGTCGCAGTGGACGAGGAAGACGACGAATCGTTGCCAGAGATCACGCTAGAGGAATTCAAAGAGAGGTACAGAAGACTGATACCCTACATGACCTTCTACGTGGCCAGCAACTACATAAACGCGCAAACGCCGATTTCGCAAGCCACTGCTGCAAAGGAGGTGGTAGTACAGAGCAGTCCACTGGTGAGAAAAAATCCGCAACCGTTCACCAGGATGAACACCGTACCACGAAGAGGGATCAATTATCGTGTTAATGCACAGAATCAAGAGAAGAAGTTCGTTCCCTCGATTCAATACGATCCGAGGAACGTAGGAGCCGATGGGAGTAGCTACTTCACGCCTCTGAGGTATAGCTCGAAGATCAATTACGACGAATACTCGACACCGTACCAGCTATATGAGGATCGAAAGCCAGCGTATCCCGAGATAACGACGGTAGCCAGCAGCCACCAGTCTGCCCATAACGAGAACAGATTCTATGCAAACGTGAGACCATTACGACCTTACACGACAAATGGCAGAGATCACCAGCCTAGGAAACAACCGGCTAAGCCTATCCCTGGCAATCTTCGAGATGACTACGTGCTCGATTATAATGTCAGACCAAGTAGTGCGCTTAATTATCCTGTGAAAGAATTTCAAGATCATCGACAAGTCCCGCTGCTGTCTAACGACTATCCGAGCGTACTGGAACCTGTACTAGGGGGAAAGCAACCGCCGCCTCTACTCGCTCAGCTACCTCAAAATCCTAGCGTGAACCTGCAGCAAATAGCGGAGAGCTTTCAACTAAGTGAACGTTTGCCAGAAATGTTGAGAAACGACAACATAGACAGTAGTTTAAAGACGCTCGCGGAGATATTGAATATTCTCCACGGCATGAAAACGGAAGAACTGCCGCAGATTCAAGCGCCACCCTTTATACCTTCACCAGCCAGAGTGCCCGCCGAGAAACCAACGAGCTACAAAACGAGGCCGAAGACGAGGCCGAAAGTGATCACGGAGACGCGATTTCAAGCCACGCCGAATCCGCTGTACTTGACCGACGATCCCGAACGTTACAAAATATCGTCGTACGAGTATAAAATGAAACCGCCACAGTCGATTCAGTCGAGTTACAATGCGAACAGCTTAACCAACAACAACGTGGTGGAATATTATATCCCGATGGTGCAGGAGATCCCAACGAGGCAGAAAGAACCGATTCTACCAACGATCAGACCACAAGATCCGATTGACCATTCGTACGCGATCACGGAGGATCTCAGCGACGATATACTGCAACAGGAGCGATTCTCTTTGCCACCTGTTACTACGGAAAACCCGATTTACAGATATACGAAGCCCAACCAGGCAGCGACCCCGAACGTGCCGTCGTTAAAATATGGCGCTACAAGAGGGAAGGCCAATATAGACTATCCGGCCTATTCTAGCATACCTCGTACGAATTTCAGCTGCAAGGAACAACGTTACAAGGGATTCTTTGGAGATCCAGATACTGGATGCCAAGTGACGTATTTTCTTTCTCTCTTTTTCTTTTTTTTTTTTTT